TTGGTGTGTGCTTGGACAGTGTTGCTGACATCTTTTCATTCATCGCACCAACCCCAGTAATATGACGAGTGTTGGTTGATGGGATTGACTCGGTAGTTTTCTTTCCTGTTTTTCCTCCTCTTTCTCCTAATGAGTTCACTTGTCGGGAAAAGGATGCAACTCCACGTTGGCCATCTAGTGATTTCTCTGATTGTCCACGGTACAACNGAGTTGATTCTGTGCCCATTCCACATCTGTTAAGCTAGATGAGGGACCTGGGAATTGCTGAAGGACAATACCTTGTTTCCTAAGTCGATCAAAAAACAGTTTGTTGCACCATATCATTCACTACATCTGCCGCAATCTGTGAGGCAATTACTTTACTTTCTTCAGTAATAGAGTATTGTATTTTATCACTTTGCTCATGCAAAACATTAAAACCTTCTTGTAACATACGAAATAGTTCATTTATTTCACTCCGTATAGTATGATGATCATTTCTGAGTTTCATCATTTCATCTTTTAAAACAAAAATTCATTGGCAATGCCGGCCACCTCAACGTGGTGCCATGGTCCAGTACTTCGTATTGTCGGGGGAAGCCAAGGGCCAGCGACGTTTTTCTTTTTGAAGACCCGTTGGCCCTTAGACTACGGCGATATAAATCACCGGGGGCAGTCGCGTCGTGCTGGGGCAGAAATATATCCAAGAAGGTCCTGGGGCACGTGTCGACGTGCTATCAGCAGTATCGCCCGCACCAGGTTGCTGCTGAGTGGTGGTGATGTAGAGGAAAATCCCGGCCCTTCACTGCGAGGAATGCGGTGGAACTCAGCTGGGCTTACCCAGGCCAAGAGGCTTGCTCTCCACAAAAACCCTTGTTGAGGAGAATGTGACATTCTGCCTGCTAACCGAGACGAAATTATCTTGTGCGGAATTGTCGAGTTTCACAATCGCTGGTTACCAACATCATGGAGTCCCCCACCCCTCTAAAGGAGGTGGTGTTTCGATTCTTGTGCGTGAAGATCTGCCAGTAAAAAGAGGACTCACCGTAGTTGCAAGCATTGAGCATGCTCATGCAACGATCCACATGGCAGAAGGTCTGGCGCTCACAGTGACGTCAGCATATTCTTCCCTCCGGGGAGATCATACACAACCTCGCAACTTGACACGCTTTTGATGACAAGCGGACCTCACCTCATTGGTGCAGATGCCAATGCGCATGCAATGACATGGGATCGCGCGATCCCCCTGATACCCGTGGCGATGTGCTAGTACAATGGTGCTTAGATAATGATTACGTTATTCACAACGCTGGAGATTGCACTCACCCACACCACACGCCATGGCCCGTCCGCGCCAGATGTGACAATATCCCGAGAATGCCGTCTAGAGTCATGGACGGCATCCTTCTCCCCGGACAGCGACCATTACATCATCCTCTTCGAATTAGCAGTAGGAGATGATAATGATGAACCGCTGCGGCCCCCTCGCCCTCGTGCACCCATTTATGCATGGAAGAAGGCGAAATGTTCTCACCTTCGACAAATGCCAAACACACAGTGCAACAAACAACCTGAACAAAAATTAGCGTTCACAAGAAAGAACGACTACTGACCTCCGCCATTCATATTGCAACAGCTGCGGCGGTTCCACGCGGGGGTCGAGGTACTGCCCCTTATTGGGCTCCAGAATTAGAGGAAATCGAAGAAAAGATTCACAATTGTAAACCTTATGTCTCCCGAGACAGACTGGTAGTTCGCAGAAGGGAATTGCCAAGACAAGCATCTCATAAGAGATGGAAAACCCTCTGTAATAACATGTCCGTGGAAGACGGCTGCTGTTGGAACATTTTGAAAAGGATTTACGCCCCGCGACCCCTCAGTACCCAGGCGGTAAAGATCAAGAATACGGTGCTCACAGATAATCAGAAAGCTAAGCACTTTATCCGTTTATATCCACGAAGAGCCAAACGGCACCCCCATTCCTACCCTCCACCGCCCATTCCAGTAACAGATACAAAATTCATCCCCATTACAGCAGCAGAACTGGAACGGGCACAGCGTCTCCTTCCTAAAGGGACGACCGCAGGTCCAGATGGTATCTACAGCGAGGCACTCCAACACTTGGGAACCCGAGCCAAAGGAGACTCTTGCTCTCTTCAACGAGAGTCTCCGTACGGGCGTGGTTCCAGTCTCTTGGAACGTAGGCATCATTGTACCACTCCTTAAACCAGGAAAGAAGGCCACAGATTTGGATTCGTTCAGACCAGTTACACTCACTAGTTGTCTGTCCAAATTAATGGAGCGGATCATTGCAGCCCGAATTCGAGATGTCATTGAAACCAAACTGACCCCGCAACAATCTGGATTTAGACCTGGTCACTCTACGTCAGATCAACTATTGCATCTACGCGCAGCCCTCACAAGACCCACCCCTGATTCGCGTACAGGTGCAGTATTCGTCGACTACGCTAAAGCTTACGATACTGTAGACCATGATCGGATAGTTAGTGCGATGCGAGAGATGGATATCCCACCGCACATCATTCGATGGTCAGCATCTTTCCTGAAAGGACGCCAAGCCAAAGTACGAGTAAACAGTAAATCCTCTCCTTTAATTCTTTTCCACCGCGGTATACAACAAGGAACAGTTCTCGGCCCACTTATGTTCATTATAGTAATGAACACACTAAGCAAACGATTGTCCTAAGTTCCCTTATTATTTCATGGGTTTTTCGCCGATGATCTCACGCCAGCAGTATGACACGTCAACAGAGACATCATCAACAGTACACTGCAAAATGGGCTAAACATAGTGGATGAATGGTCCAAGAACTATTTTATGGACATCAACGTGGACAATACGAAATACACACTTTTTGGAACCTCTGACCCGAATCCCCTTTCTCTTGAACTACGCGGTATCCCCGTAGGTCCGGAGAAGGCGCCTAAACTCCTAGGCGTCACCTTCCAAAACTACCGTGGCATGTCTACCCATGTGGTTCAAACGAGACAACGCATGAATTTTAGATTACTACAACTGGCGCCGATCTCCTCCACCACATGGGTACCGAAGCGTGACGTCCTTCGAGCCTTCTACCTGACACTAGTTCAAGCCCAGACACTCTACGGCTTTGAGGTCTGGTATTGGGATGCGGCTCCCACTTCACGCAAACTCCTAGATGCAGGACAGAACAAAGCTTGCCGAACCATAGCAGGTATCCCATATGGATGTCGCTCCGCCGACGCACTACGTGAAGCCTCTCTTCTCCCACTAGAGATGACGGCCATGATTCGGAGCCTCAAATATTTAATGCGATGCCAAACACGAGGTGGATCTCTCAAAGAAAGCGCAGAACAAGTTTATCACGAAACCCATCCAGTACGAGAATTCTATGAACGCACCATAAAACTCTATCCAACACTTGTTATAGAGCCACGCGAGCCCCCATTACTGACACCAACATTACGGTTTGGTAAACACGTTCGCTTCTTCACATCGCTGGAAAATGTCTCAGCTGATGACCCTGAAGAACAGAAAAGAGAAGCATCCGAGCGTTGGATAGC